CCTCATTATATGTGTGACAAGACAATTTAAATTTTACAAAGATTTTAAGAGCTCTAATGAACTAAAGTAAATGCATTATGAATTCCATCTTTTATTCCTCCGCCCCCGCATCCAGTCCCCACGCATACTTCCAAATTATCAACTACATGATTTGACATTACAGATTCTGTAGTCTCCCAACCGACAAACCCTAGCATTTTCCACCCTATTTCGTTTCTCTTCTTCTTTGTGTAATTGTGTGCATATATATCTTTCATTCTCGTGCTACCCCAACACTCCATGCATGCTGCAAAAACCACAGCACTCTCTCCATTCACCAAAGGACAAAGAGTTAATGGGTGTTGGAAAGTGATTAAAGCCTGGGTTTCTCACTCCTTCTTATCTCAACTCATCTCTTTTTTTGATGATTAATTTTCGTTAAATAATTAGATTTTCTTTATAAAAATGATTTATTTTACTGTAAATACTTTCTACTTCTCTCACACACATACATATATATATAGCCATGTTTTCTTTTTATTTTTTTTAAGGAAAACTAATTAACTAGGGTTTCATCAATATTAGAAGGATGTAAATGGAAAGAAATTAACGAAAAGCAAATATATGCGTGCGGTCTGCAGCAAAGAGATCAGTGAGAATATTTACAGGTGTGGGGTAAGGTATATGGTATCCCAAGGAGTTTGTCCATGTATGTTTGTGCCACAAAATTCGGTAATCTAATATACTTTTATCGTGGTTTGTGTTTTGATCAGCTCTGGCCTGAAACATGACAGGTTGAACACACATTATGCAATGCAAGTGTCTTGTTATACCATGTTAATCATCCTTCCGAATGTTATGTTACTGAAACAAAGAAAGATGTATGCAGTAGAAAGAAAGCTGCAACTTATATATGGTCCTGCGCCTTCCAAGCACTAACTCATGCATTCTTATTTGCATGTATATATATTGGTCAAGAAGAACTAATGATTCTCCTTTTCATTATGTGGACAAAGGTTGGCTGTTCATTTTGCCCTTAATTTGAAGAATAGAGAAAAGGAAAACAACATTGCTAAAATATTGTTATGCACATAATATATTTCATATGGAATGATAAATATTGCATATATTTAATCTTGAAAATGTTTGCTAAACATGAACTTCTTTAAAGAGTTAGGGCACACTTTATATATAGGTAGGAGTTGGTGTCATCCTGTTGGGTATTAGGAGACCTTTATGCATATACTGTTTTTCAGAAATATATTGTACAAATATATCATATATAGAGAGGAAATGGGGTTTTAGTAGTACCCATTGGACTTTTGAGTGGCTTCAGCAAATGTCTGGTCCAGTTTTGGTTGCTTGTTATTGCCATCCAGCTTTAGCCCAAAGTGAATGTGGGGGAAATGTGCCCACTGCAAAACATCATAGATGTTTAATTAATTCTCAGTCATATATATACTAATCACACTTTGGCATATATAAATGATTAAACAGACCTTGCCCCAGTATTTCTTTACGAATATGAAGAGCACAGTCTTGTGGGTCTCATCAACAAGACTGTTTATACATACAAGGAATTAATCTCTCATATGCGTGCATATATAATAATTTGGAGCAATTTCTTTCCACTCATTTTGACCATCCTCAAGAACTATATATAATTGATAAATTTGCAAAAGAAAACTATCATAGGAGTAAACTATTAATTTGTAGCTTCTTCTTCCTTTCTTTTCTTTTCTTTTTTTGAAACCATATTAATTTGTAGCTATATATACAGCTAGCATGAAAGACAATATTTACTGCTGATGATGCAATAACAAGAAAATAGAGTTGCCAATGAATTAAGAAAACAGCTTACATTTTTTGCTGCTGTGCTGAAAGCTTCCCTGTGGCTGATGTCAGGATTACTAGCCTTAATCCTTTGGATTTCCTCCCTACAATGAAAATGAAAATTTATTCTTATAAGCTACAACATATATAGAGAGAAAGAGAACATTTAAGTAACCTATTAAGTTGCTGAACTTACTTAATGAACTTGTTATATGCCGACGGAACGCGTTGTCTCTTCTCTGGTGCTGCATTATCATTCATGAAGTTTGAAATCTTAGTAAGTTTCATTCCATTATATCATAATTTCAGTTCTGACTTAATTCACAATTAGAATCATAAGGTCTTAATTGATGAAATGGGATCATGGTCATCATAATCCACCTCAAATTTTGGTCATTTTCTCAATCATATATAGGCAGTGACTTGTGATCATGCATGATAATTCGCATAGGATAATGTTTAAGTAAAAAAAAAAATGAAAGGATAACAAAGTTCTTTATTGACAAACAATATATCCATCCACACTTAGAGCTCCTTCAGACTATATTGGAAACTTTGAATATTCTCCATATATATATGTTGAAGTGGTAATTAACTAGAGAAAATTTTCGAACTATAGAAGGACTACAAGAGTTATATATAGAGCATCTTAATTATTCCTAAAGTACATATGGATTTAATTTCAGGGGACATTGGATATTCTAAGGCACTGTTAACAGTTGAAGTAGCTTGTAGTGTAAGGTCACCATCTAGCTAGCTAGGCTGAAAATGGTCAGGCCATGTGACTGAAGAAGAGATTAGATGTATATAATTGTATATGTATATATTGTTGTGGTGTTTTGTGAATTCTGCCTTCACTTTTTTACTGCTACCAGTAATTGTGTGGAGACACATTGTTGATCTCAGGCTCATCATAAGTCAAGCTTAAGGCAGTTAGACCTTGCATTCAATTAACTTTTGGTCTGATCTAAGCATCTAATAACGTTATTGCTCGTTAAGTTCAAAATCTTGATTATGGAATCAAGGTTTCAGAATAAACCTATATATGAAATATTATATATAAGCATATACAATAACTTTCAAAAGAAGTACATAACATTTACTCGAGGGAGAAAGAAAGAGACTAACGGCGAATGGGAGGCATTCTGGGGGCATCATTGTTGTGCTCTGAGGACTCAAATCCAGAAAACTTGTTGGATTTGGAAGAAGAACCAAATTCATTCGAATCTTGACAGTTTATCTGCTGTTTCTGCAACTTAATTTCCGTCAAACAAAACAAATAAACAATCCATCAAACTATCCCTTTTATTGTCCCACGGACATAGCTAAGCTCATCTTATAATATCTATACATATATGTGGCAAAAAGACTCCAATGGTCAAAATAAAAGTGGAAGAACAATAGCTGTTTCATATGTCTTGAAGGTAAAAAAAAAAAAGAAAAAAAAGAGAGAGAATATTTTATGATTGGAATCTGGGATAATATTACTGAAAAACAAAAAAAGAAGGAATCTTTCCCTTTTTATTATATTGAAATTGAATATGAAAGTGAGAATGTAGCAGAAAAGGGGAGGCAAAATACCTGGGCTTCTTGGGGAGGAGCAGCTTGAAGTAAAGCTCCCATGTTTACAGACAGCAAATTGGCACAATGCCCACATCTAACTGTCACAATGGTGAGCATACTGCTGCATGGAACACTCACCTGCGTGCAACCATGTACATCATTAATTTTCCAGCATCAAACATGTAGAAGTTTCTAGATCGATCGGATCTGCCCCTCTCTGATCTCCAGAGAGCTAGAAGAGACTTAAAACTTTCTTAGAGTTAGACCTCCAGGAAAAAATTAATGCTGCAACCCATTAATATATTCTTAAGAAGAAGAAGAAGAAGAAGAGAGCCACATATATCCTGCAAGGCTACATGGCAATGTAGAACATCTCTTTCATGGTTTTAGGCTACTTCCTTGTTAGATCTTGTTGTTATGTCTTCAGCTGGACGAAGGAAGAAGCCAAATGGTTGCAGAGAGGCACAGAGCTTAGACAAACCTCACATGGGCAATAACTATAAGGACTTTGTTTCCTTTGGCTTTGGGTGTGGCTGACATTTCCATCTGACATCAGAACCCCAGAGATGATCCATAAAAGATAGAAAAGAAAATATTTTTCTGATGAAAACGACCTCACTGGATCAGAAACCAAACACCATCCCCAGTAACCCATAGCTATCATAAAAAAGAGAGATCATACTGAATCATGAATGCTCATCTTTATGCAATGTTTTGGATCTCTCATGCATCCATTACTATCAAGATTCAAAGAGAAGGGAGTAGAGAGAGAAAGAGAGAGAGAGAGAGAGACGAGGCTGTGATTCTTTTATGCAGGTCTCTTATGCAAGGAAAGAAAAACACTTCTTTTTTGTACTTAGAGGGAAAACAAAGTAACAAACGTGAAATTATGAAACAAAGGAATTAAATGGATCAAAAGCATCCATTATAACAAGTAAGGACTGAAAATTATATAAAAACAAATTAAAATATACTTGTGGGTGAATTTGAAGGGAAACAAAGCAAGTGGTAGGCTTGCATCAATAGCATGAATATAGCATCAGAAATAAAAATAGTTCTGAGAAAATTACACTAGAGAAAAGGCTGGAATTGTATATAAGATGTCCTGGGATCAACCCTAATGTCATGTTCCTTCCTGTATCTGTAGCCCTAGTGATAGGATTAAATTAAAACCCTATTTGGTAATTTATCATATGAATCCTAGGTAGCTTGTATAAAGGGTTCCAGCTGCCAAACATAAGAATTCCCATAAATTAATTTCATGATACATGAAACTTTTTAATTTTGGCTTATTCTCTGGGTGTGATTAATATGAGGGAGTACTCTCTATAACAAAAATTTCATTCCAGTTTCACATAAAATATATATATGAAAAATGAGATATAGATTCCTTTTTAACTAGTTCCATGTAAAATCTCAACAAATCTGACGATCCCATGAAAGGTTAAAGAAAAAAATTTTTCCCAAATTGGAGTAGAAATTCACTTCCATAATTCGCAATTTGCAGCGCCTGAAATTCCCACTTCATACATTAATTTCTTCTAAAAAGAAAAAAGAAACAAATAATATAACACAAGAGGGTGCCTGGATAGGTCTTGCATAAAAAGACATGACATCTGAAAAACTGTCATGTAAAGAAAAAGGCGAAGATATGTACATATATATTATATATAGAGAAAGACGGAGAGGGAGAGAGAGAATTGAGCATGGAAATTATACCGCTAAAATGGTGTTGCAGAAGTTGCAGTGAACATAACACACACGTTCTGATGATGCCAAATCTACTGACATTTTTTCTTTTCTGCTTAGTTGGAGAGTATATGATATCTCCAGATCAAGGAAAATTTAACCCAAATTGAAGAGAAACAAGTAGAAAGACAAAATAAGAGGGAAAAAAATAATATTATATTGGTTTTGGAGAGGAGAGAAAGATACAAAAATCTGAAAGGACTAGTCTGGTCGGGGAAGGCGAGGGAGGAGAGAGAGAGAGAGAAAGACAATGAAGTGGAAACTGGGAATTAGGAAGGATAGTAGATTTTGGGTTCTTGTAAGGAAAACGCTGGGAAATAAAGGTGGACGGTGTGTGGTATTATGATTGAGGGAATGAGTGGGTGGGAGTGCCTAAGCTTTCCATCTCTTTGCTTTCTGTAGCGGAGGAAGGGGGGGAGGGATATTAATGCCTTTGGAATGTTATTGGGATATGTGGGAGAGAAAGGGTTTTTTGGATGAGACTTGAGAGTGTAACACCAAGGCCCAAGGCCAAGGTGTTGGTTAGTACTTAGTAGTGGTATATTACCTCATCTTTACTTTACTTGTCTTTTTTTTTTTAAGAGATAGTTTAATTAATTAATTTTTTAACATAATAATATTAAAGTCTTATTTTCTAAAACATAAAAAGGTCTTATATTTTAATTTGACCTATATTAATATAATTACTTTATTTTTTAAAGACACATCTCAATTTCTTAATTACCTTTATTACTAAAAGTAAATTTAAAATTTTAATTAATAATAAGTGTGTTTTGATTAATTTTTTTTAACTTTTTATGATTGTACCAAGCAATAGTGTAAGAAGTAAAATGAAGTTTAGTGAAGCAAGTCTATCTGTTGGTAAGGAAGTGTGGTGTGAGGTCAAGTATTCATGTCCTCTAATAAAATTTAAGATTTTTTTCAATGCACTAAATTAATGTGAAGTGCATTCTTAATTAATATGAAATAATGAATAATTACTGTTAAAGTATACCCAAACTAACTAGCATGAGATACGATAACCATTCAAAAAAAAAAAAAAAAAACCACAATTGACAAGGTGAATGTCTCCACATAGATATAACATTTCTTAACCTAGCTCCCTTGGCCGCAGAATCTATAATAGGGACCATTTGGTAAAGCTTATAAATAACATTTTTTTTCTTATAAATTTTAAATTCTATTAAAGAGAAAGCTTACTCTTTAACATTTTGGAGCTTATGAGCAAGGTTTTTATTTTTATTTTTTTCATTTTAAGTAAGCTTTTTCTTATAACAAAATATAAAATTTGTGTGAGAAAAAATTGTTCATAATTAAGTTAAGAAGTACACTCCAACAAACACTCTCATCGTCAAATTAGATAGATAATTCATGTTTAAAATATCAATGAGTATTACCAAGTAATACCTATTAAAACCTTGGGTTGGGATCAAGTTAGTAGCTCAATTTGTAATGTTAGATAGCTAATTTTCTTTAATGTACCAAAAAAATTATGTTAATTTATCATAAATTCTTGATAATGCTGATTAGAATATCTAATAAATACCATGTGAGAGGTTGGTAGAACTTCCAGATCATTGGTTCAAACGCTTCAATAGTCTTGTGCTGTATCAAATCGTGCATATAAGATAGAGTTGGAAGTTGTTGTTTGATGATAAAATTAATAATTGCAAGATGATGAAAAGAGTAGTGTAACAGGGGGTTTACCGTTCCTTTTTTTTTTTTTTTTTTGCTTTCTGATAAGGAGATTATAGCTCTAATCTCTAATTATAATTAGGCTCAATATATAAGGAAAATGGGAATTTAGGTTTGGGTGGGAGTGTAGAGTTGATTGGGAAAAAAATAATTGTGTATGCATAACTTTTTCTTTCTTAAAGTCCGGTAGAAGAATCCATATACCTATAAAATTAGGTAGGTTAATAATCCATCTATCTAGAAAAAAAGTTATACAAGAGACAATTTAACATTAGATTCAAAAGAGGTTATATACTCAAATTACAAAGATAGAAGGTTGAAGGATAAAAAAATTAATAAAATATAAAAGGAGTTGTCTCTTATTTCAGCTACCAGAAAAGAAAAGGAGAAAAAACTCCACGTTAACCCCCTGAATTGACTCTATATTCTTAAAGTTTCTGGACTTTTTTAAAAGCAAATAAGGCTTAAACCTTATGATTTGTGTAATTTTGCCCTCTTCTTAAGGGACTGCAAAGTTACAGATAAAGAAAGATATAAAAAAGAACAAAATTTCACAAATCATGAGATTTAGGAACTTTTCTACTTTAAAAGAAGTCTAGGAGTTCAATTAAAAATCTAAGGTCAATTTAGAGATTTAACATGAGGTTTTACAAAGAAAAAGTTGTACTCTCTATAAATAATTTTTCAATATCATTCATTTTAAATATGTAATAGGAGACCTTGAGCTGTATATACTGGACCAGCTAGCTAGACTGGTCCTGCAAACTGACCATGTAAGTTGTAGGTTATGTTTTGACGACAAAATACACGGCAGCTACATTACAACAAAATACTAAAAAGTTTTGATAAATTAAAATTTTTTTAAATTTAGTTAGAATACCAATTTTAAGAATATGTACTTTAATAAAACTTGTCAATTTAAAATTTAGAATTTTATTTTTAGTTGTGAATTTTAATGTAATATTTCAAATTTCAACAAATATCAAAACAAAAAATCATAATATTTTTTTATTCATAATTAATAAAAAATAATTTTTTCTCATTCTTTTATCCATTTTACTTATATATACTATATATGACTCAAATTTAAAGTCCTTTACTCCACTTAAAAAAAACATCACCACTTAATCATTTAAGCCATTGACAAAAATACAACTATATATATATAAAATAGATCCTTAATATATTCATAAAGCAAATGAGAGTAGATGTTATGTTACAGGGATTGACATACATACCATACCATACCATGCTGGTGTGTACGTGTTGCTATTTATATATATATATTTATTTATTTATTAACAAAATCAATTTTATGAAATAAAGTATAAAAAATAATCCAACACAAATATATACAAGTTCTCCCTCGAATGACTACGTACTCATCAAGTGTGTGTTACTATTTATTTATTCTAGAGAGACCAAACTTGAGTGTTCTGGTAAGAGTTGGAAGCAGCTGGATCAAATTCAGGATTCCGACAGGAAATATGATGTGAACCAAAACTAATTGTCGTGAGCTTCTCAACACCACTTTCACTGGTCCCCTATTCCTTAATAATTAAAGCTGTACCAATATGCAATAACTTTTTCACAAATAGAGAACCACCTGATTGGGAAAATTCAATCGCTCCTGCTTAACATTTTGCTTCCATTGGGGTTAATTAATTTCTTCTAATCTCGCTTTCATGATCAATAGTTGAGTAAAATAGGATGCAATGTTTGGCTCAAACTCAAGCCTGCGTCCTTACATATAGATAAAGAATCACGTTCTTATCACTTGTGTGAAAATTAGATATGTTTGGTTTAACATAAGGTTTATATTTAATTTAGAATTAATTAATAATAAGTGAAGTAATATTCTTTGTATTTAAACCATATATTTTGGTTATATTTTTTATGTGAAATTTTCTACTTCTTAGGAATAAAGTTTGTGAAATTTGAGTATATGAAAATTTAACACAAGACTATATTCAACTTAAAATTAATTAATAATAAATAAAATAATACTTTTTTGTTTTTAACTTACATATTTCTTTATTATATTTTCAATATAAAATTTTCTTACTCAATAACTTCAACTACTCCATGGAGTCTAATCTTGTGTGAATTATTAATTATATATAATGATTTTTTTTTTATAAGGGCAATAGTTAGTAGGTTAGTGTTGTTAAATATTAGCAACTGGGGATTCGATCCCCAGATCTTGTGAACAACCTACCGACCTCAACGAGGCGCGTGGCTATCAGGCCGCTTGGTGGAGTTCAATTATATATAATGATTTTTTTTTATAAGGACAATGGTTAGTAGGTCAGTATTGTTAAATGTTAGTAACTTGGGATTTGATCTTTAGATTTGGTGAACAACCCACCAACCTCAACGAGGCGCGCGACCATCAAACCGTTTGGTAGAGTTCAATTATATAATGATTACTAACATACAATGTGAGAACTTTCCTCTTCTTACAAAAGTCCTCTGAAATGTTTTGATGGAGAGAAATGTTATCTACACTCAGTGTGAGATCTAGTGTTCATGCACTCGGTACTTAATTGGTGTGTAGGAATTTTTTTTATTTCTTATTTTCAAAAATAAATGGCATTGCTCTTTGATGGTACTAGAAGATGGACTCAGAAATATTTGGAGTCGAATCATTTTGTTTTGGTAATAATAGAGAGACAATATTTTTATATAATTTTTATATATCATTAAATAAATAAATACACACAATATATTAAGGATTTCAATAGAATAAAAAAAGATAATTATTAAATGATATATAAAGTTATATTTTTTCTGTTAATTTCTAGTCAACTTAGTCTGATTTTTTAACTTTTTAAATAAAAATAAAAATTTATATAAATAATAATAATAAATTTTTTTCCTATATGAAATTCTTATCAAGTATTTTTATTTGATAAAAAATATTTTCAATTATCACTTATATAATATATTAAATTTTCATTTAAAATTTATATATTCAAAAAGTCAAATTAAATCTATATATAAAAAATGAATGGAA